AGTGTGTGTTTGTCATAATCACTTCTTCAGAATCCTTATGAACCTGAAAGCTGCTGCTCAGTACTTTTGATATCCGCTCAACTGATCTCATTAAAACGAGTAACCGCAGCATAATAATGGAAGATAAAAAGTAAGGAAAAATGAGGAACTGAAACAGAGGTTTTAATCTACGGCAGCCCGTTCACTTTTCAGCGAAAAAACTATCATCAGGTTAGGTCACTTCACATGAAGTACTATCCAAATGATGGTCATAAGGAAATGTAATAACATATTGGCATAGTAACTGCGATGAAAATGTTACACTTTAAGTTAAGCTTAGTTTTCTCTATCTGCTTTAGCTAGTGAATTATGATTATTACTCATAATTGTCCTTTAATAACGGAAGGTGTAAAGTAGATAGAAAGTAAAAGCTTGGACTCGAAACTGCACTTGCACTTTCTAGCGAAGAAGCCATAATCAGGTGTGAGTCAGTAGCCATAAAAACTTAGCGAAAATGACAGTCACATAATCTTGGGTGAAAAGACACCAGTAACTGGAAAAGGGCGTTACAGCAGAAGTTTTGCTTAGTTTTACTTGCATCGTAATGCTGCTAAATCATCTGAAACGCCATGTAATGTTGGATCATGAAAAGTACGCTGCCGAGGAAGCGGCAAATGGCTGGAACAGATTTTAAGCATTCTGCGCTGGTTTCAGCGAGGAAGAAAACGACAGAGGAATCACCTCTGAATGGTATGAAAAACTAAAGCTCCATAGTGAGTCAAACATATAAAAAATGACCGGCCTGTGCAGCATGTATTCGCTTTCCTGTCCCCTGGTGTCAACAACTGAGTAGTACTAATGCGAAAAGAACGAAACAAGCAACATGAGCAACCGCTGGAATGTCGATCTTCCTTACAGATTAATCATGGGACCGTTTCCGGCCCCTTTCTTTTCACAAAGTTGACGGAGGGGCGTTGATCTTTATTTCCATGCCTTCAGCCACGAGTGCCTTATTTTAACAGCAGGACCCAGAGCTACATGAGGGACACTGCACACAGTATAGTGTTTCCTCTCCACTAGTGCTATTTATTTATCAATTTCGAAACGTAAAGCTAGACCAAAGCCTGAGACCAGGATTTATCGGTTCAGCACTGTAATGTGAAGACTAAGCAGGGTACCTGACGCAATTGCTGGCACTTGGTACCGATGACGCTACATCTGTTATAGCTGATGACCTATTAGCAATAAGAATAATACGAAAATATGCAGGCCGGTAAGACGGTGTAATGGCTTTGCAGCGCTGCTTCGCAAATGACGCAAGACTTGTAGCATCGAAAGGAGAGCTGTGCCATGGACGGAAATGACACAAATAGCATCAATGATCCATCGGAGGCGCATAAGTAGTCCATAACTCGTCGAGACCAGATTTCATCGAGTACTAAGCCGCCCCTTTACTCTAGTTTCCCATACAGCATTGAAACAGGCCAAGGTTCATTGGTATTTGAACACCTGCAGTGCCAGATACATTCACAGTTTGCCAGCTAAAATCATGCGACGCTCAAAAGGTACGATGTTTCAGCAGTTGGTACTATCAATGTGCTACCGCATAAACACTAACACATGTTCGTGCGGAGAACATGTTACATGACGATTAAAGATCAGTTTTAGACTATGAAGAGTACCAGCTTCTGAACTATCGTTCGTGATGAGGGCGAGATGACTCTAGCAGACAAAATGATGCGAGATTCGTCTGGCATTGCAAAAGCTCAAATGTCATGGATATGCGTCGTGCATAAATGGTCCCCTCAGCAACGAGGAGCAATACTTCGTGAAATCTAAATTCGGAGGAGTAGTGCGCCATTCCGCACACTCTGATGCACAAAAAAGTTTGATTTTTACGCGGCAATCATTCACTAATATAATGAAAAGGACATCCTAAAGATTACAGAGAATGTTTGTTTCGTAGTCGAGCTGCAGCAAAAAATAGCACATCATTTTAGGGAAGCGTATGAAGTAGTGACTGCGTGCTGTTGTTTTACCATCGTCATCCGAGACTTACCGAGAAATCTGAATCTAACGGTCAAACATCATAAATCAGGGCCATTCTACAGCCGAAGCTATGTCATCCTCAGATGAAGATAGAAAACGACAAGAAGAGCAATAAGGTACTTAACTGCAAGTTTCAGGGACATGATTTCTAAGAAGAAACTACTCAGTCAGCAATATCCAGCGTTAGGGGACGTCGTCAGTCTAAGATAACTCTGAGGCTTCTTTGAATTTGGAATTCTAACGTCCATCGTTTGACAGCAGCAATGAGAAAAGTACGTGGTATACAATTTAACCCAACACTGCCTGTTCAGTTACGAACCTGTTGCCATGCACGTGCGACGCGCAAAAGGCGAAAATGTAGTGCAGCAGCGTTGGATCGATCATGTAGTTGCTCTCGGCCATGTTCAACAGGTCGTTCAACAAACAGACGTTACGATGACAGCCGCGAACCATGTACCTGGCGCAATACTCGTCTAAGACAAACAGCTCGCCAGGCGAAAACCATCCCTGTTATAGCAAACAGCACACGATCAACGGCAGGCCAAAAGTAGGTTAGTAAATTAGCATAAAATACACGAATTCATCAACAGAGCAAAGATTAACAACTAAATTAAAGCTAGCTACAGTAAGTTAGATACAAGAGGACAAGGACAGTGCATAGAATAATAAGAATCATTGAGCCACTATCAAAGAGTAACAAGTATGCCATATACTGAGCACTGAGCAATGGATGATAAAACGAAAGTAAATAAATGCCATATATTGGTTGTTAATACTGTTACTGAGACGAAGCAGAAACTGTATAAGTATGATTATGCAAAGCATTTGCCAAGCAACGTGAAACAGTAAACGCAATAAGCAAAGTAAATGATTCACTGTTAAGTACTGATTTGCTGCCGTCTTGCGCTCTACATCCCATGCATAAATCTCTTGTAGATTCGGTCACAAGAGAAAGAAAGGGAATGCAGTACAGTGTATGCCAGCACTGGGTGATTCTGTTCATACCGAAAGCGTTTGACGAGTTTCATAATCAGAATGGATCAGTTATAAGGTAGTAATAATTATGAATGGACAGCGGACTTCATTACGCCTTTCTGACAAACCCGTGCTGGAGAACGATACTGTGATTTCAAGGCCGAATAGAAACACTGGTGGTTCACGACCGTGTTTATCTAACAAATGCGACGATATTGATGCTGAATCCTGAGTCCTTACGTTCACATTACTATGATAATCACAATCATCATACACCACCATTTCACTGTACTCCCTTTATCATTATTGGCACCATCAGAACCACTACCGTCTTTATCATAGTATGACATCATCACTGTATTAAGACTATTATTATTGTCGTAATTACCACCATCAGCAGTACGAAGATACAGATTAAGAATTCACTTAAACAACATACGTCCCATCAGAAAAACGTGATTCCTCATTGCCCTCAATGCCACTGAACTATAATCAATGCATCTTCTACTAACTCGGCATTGTAAGAATCCTGAATAGAAAAGGCAAGCATGACCATCGATGCAACCCCGAGTACCTTTGGATGACCCTGTTTATATCTTTCGCTCCCGGATGCGTTCAGATGGGTTTCCGACACTTCGCGCATAACAAAGAATGGAGCTTATAAGCAGCGACCTATTCAGTCGCATGGCTGCGATTTGGTCGAAAATTTCGGTCCAGTAATACGTTATACGAGATTTCGGCATGATCTACAATCGCAAGCATCAGAAACCGAGGAGAACCATCTGATTACTGGACACCAATGCAATGAGGAAAAAACGGGAGAGGTAAAGATATGGATCAGATACGCTGCAAACAAGCCAGCGGCAATGATTATGAACCAATCCTGTCGAACGAAACTCCATCATTGTAGAGTCCTACAATATTGTGACTGGCAGACGATTATGCTTTGTCACATAATTAATCGATTATCTAGCTTTTCGCTTCCTCGACCACTTAGCGCCTTTGATGAAACACTTTTCAGCGCACTCAGATACGCTTAGCAGTAGCCTTTCGTACGTTAAATCTTTAACATCCACGTACAAGCCTCTGCATGTAAGCACAAGAAACATGTTTATATAGACCGATCTCTATTTTATTCTTGCAAGTGACCACAGAGCTATCAATGCAGGATGCATGACCCGTTCGTACGTCTCCAAGTGGCGATGGAGGACGATCGGGTTAGCCAAAACAAAACATCCTAACTTCAGTCAACATGCTAAGTGAAAAAAGCTCCAAAGAATTTCAGAATTCATAATTGCTTGCCGCAAGTAAAGAAGCTATTTCCACTTGTATGTTCTGGTAAATAATAATACCTCATATACGACTTTACTTTGACTCTATTTAACTAACAGACAAATGAAACAAATGATTATTATTTCTGGAGGAATTATCGCCATAATCTGTATACAAGACCGAAGCAGGTCAAAAATCCATAATGTTTTCACTGTAGGACGAATAAATATGGATGATGAACTCAAGAGGCTTACTATGAATGCATCGTTCTACTAAGAAGACATACTTTACAAAACACGAAAAATTTCAAAAAACTTCGTTCGCGTTATCGTTACGTCATGACCAATGGTATGAGGACAAACGCGAGACTTATGAACGCGCACAGTATGGTACTTAAGATTAGGCACTCATACGAGAAGGTACGTTGACCAATGCCGGTTCTTAACGACATCAACAAAGATTCGGGTTTCAGACATTAAAAAAAGTGCTTGTATCTAACAGTAACGTAATTTTACTGAATGACGTTTTAGCCCAAATGGCTATGGCAGCGTTTACACTCACCAACGAACAAACCGGATCCTTTAGGCGAAAATCCAGCGCCAGCGACTGCAACTCGGACAGCAGCTGATCATGAGGTAACTTTACCGGATCAGCCTGTATACACTCGTCCATTCCTAATTTCTTGGCACGATCGGAATCTAAGCACCAAGAATAAACATTGACGTTGCGATTAGTTCAATTAAAATTAATTCTGATGATACAGTACATGCTCTGATGCTGATTTATGGTTTTATGCGCTGAATGTAATAAAACTAGACTGATGTAATTTCCTATTTAAAATACCATGTAACCGTCGTTTGCCTAAACAGCTCCCTTAGGCGTCTAGAAGCAAGGGGCGATGCAATAGAGCTGTTGGGGTGAAATGATAAATTGACTTTTTTTCTTTACACTGTGCATTCGCCGTTTCAATCCGGTATCATTAATTTATTGTGAAATTTCCTATCAGTCGACGTGTTTCATTACGACATAAAAATATAATCGTGGCAAAAAAATTTAATATAAATTTTCTCATCTTTCGGTGTTTAAACTTTTTCATTCATTTTTTGCGTCCAGTGATAAATTCCAGTTAATGCGCAAGAAAAGTAACCTTTTCTTCAAAACAAGAACAGTATAAAGACTCGGCATATGTATAAAATAATTGTTTGTGTATTTTATAGTGGAAGGGGTTTAGGACAACAAATAATTCATCTCATAAAACAGGCATGTATACACTACACTGCTGCATTGGCATTTCCATATGGCAACGAATCTTTCTGGCGACAAGAAAAAATTACTCTGAACGAGCGAACCGGCATGGAAACATACACGAATCAAAGTCTGAACCTTTGGTTCACAGACCATTGTTCGAACAGTCTGTATGCTCGATTATGGCTTAAATTAATGTGAATGAATGAAAGAGTATATGACTGAAAGAATGGATGAATAAATGGCTGGCTTCAATGGACGGGTGGTGCCTTAGACCACAGAGACATTATGCGCGTCGTTCAAATGCCACATATAAACTATATATAAACACTATTTATATAGACCACTAAATGAATACCAATCTATTGGAAGGAAACAAAACACTGTGCACTATTCTTGTCACATCGTAATTGTCCACTCCGCCATTAAAACGATGCACCCGTGGTTGATGACAACGCAAAGGAGAACGGCGCCCAACCGTTATATTTATGAAAAAATGGGGCCAGGAATAGTCTCGTCAGGAAACTTTCCTTATTTTCATAGAGTAAATTCAACTACCGGAAACAAATTGCGGAAAGCATCGAACTTACCGGTCTGAAGACTCAGCACGTTGGTTCCTTCTTTGGGAGGTATCGGTTTATGCGCCTGGCCGGTGGCACGGTACAACGCCTGAACCCACATGTGACGTTCGTTGTCGTCGTCCGTCGCGAACTTGATCTCTTCTCCTTCTCTTAAGGCACTGAAAAAAAATTTCCCTCCCAAAGGATAAAGATCTAAAACCAGGCGCGTGATGAAGATATCGGTGAAGTGAGCACAAGCAAAAGATTAGTACCGTTGTCCGGTTCCGCATAGTCGACCGTATATCCGTCGACCTGAAGAAACTCGGTTGTTTCAGCCTTCCGTTCCTTGTAGCTGCACATCGCAAAGGTATACTGGGAAACCTTGAATACAGCAGTGCTTCATTACTTTGCAAAAAAGGATCTCAACTTTGAAAGTGTTCACGATTGTGTGGCACTTGACACTGGATGGTGATTTACCTGTTCCACAATACAGCGCTCCGTTGCTTCAGCTCACTGTGAACTTGAGGAAAAGACAATTTTACACGACTCATATTTGTCCTTAATATTTGAAGTTTGTAAAGAAACAGTGGGTGAAAAAACTACTATCTACGAGAGGTTAATCTACAAGAGGAAGTAAAAGTCTGTTAATCTTGAACAACGTTTCTAAGGAACACTCGAATATGCTGATAATTTATTGGCTCTTAAATTTTTGACATAAACAATTACTTATTCGATGCATGACGAAAGATACAAATTCAAAGTAGTTACCTGTACGAGACAAAAATATCTTCGCTTCCAGTGCTTCCACGCCAGCTTTCCCAGAGAATAGCAGTACCTAAGTCAGAAAATTCGATAGCATAGCGCGCACAGAATCTGGCAAGTCGCGTACAACATACCCGCAGTATTTAAGGTTCTGAGGTTTCTCTATTCGAACCGCGATCCTGATGCGTAGGTTTTGGTCCGGTGAGTTTTTAGGAACAGTCATCTTGTACCATTCGGGTGAACGGGAACTATTGGGGCTTGGTCGAATCACTACCTAAACTGGTGTTTGTTCTTGACTAACTGACTTATTCATATGCTTACAACACAAGGCATACGGACCTTTCCGAGTTCTTTGTCTTCGAACGCCAACATGCCCGTATTTTCGGCGTAAAGCTTGACCTTCACCAACGGAAGAGGTTGCTGTGTTGTGAAATCGCCTTGTGTGTTCCACCTGATGTCCATTACTTTTGTACAATAAGCATAATAACAATATTTTTATTTATATAAATACACAAGAAATCATAGTGTTTTTCCATTTCAGCCATTATAATCTTAACTTCCATCGTGGAGGGTACCCATGCA